CATAGCCTTTGTAACCAGCAGTATGAAATATAAAATTGACTTTACATTTTTCCTGTCCAGTTCAACAGGTAGAGGTAAAGGTGGAAGAGGGAGTGGAGTTTGCCATTCTGCCCTGTAAAACAACAGCTTATCTGGAGGAGGATGCCACTGTGGAGTGGACCCGCTCTGAACCAGAATTCATGGTCGCCTATGTGTATCAGAATTACAGCAACAAAGTTAAAGAACAGCACAAGTTTTACTGTGAACGTACAGAAATGAGCAAAGAGAAAGTTAAAGTTGGAGACCTCAGTTTGACCCTCAAATACCCGACAGAGAGAGACACAGGAGTCTATATCTGCACCATCTACAGGAAAGGGGACATCGTCAGACAGAAAGTCATTCTTCATCTTCTCAAAGGTCAGTGTTGGAGGTATATGTGTTACACTTTTGCCACCTCGCGTCCAGTACAACATATTTATTATTACAGAAACTGTGAACCAGAAACATACAGCAGCTTATTGGAGTTGCTCTGTGCCTTTCCTCTAAACTGCTTCACAACACGCTGGCCAGCATCTGCTTTACAGTAATGATAACACAATATGTCTATGCTGTGCATCCTAATGATCAAATAGTAGTACTTCAACGGTCCTTATTATACCCGGTCAGATTACCCTCTCTTTACTTCACAGTTATATGTTCACATACATCACTTTCATCAAAACAATCACCAAAACAAAAAATATATTATATGAAATAAAGCCATCATGTTTTATAACTTTTTAATCAATTATTTCCAACCTCTTTTTATCCCTTTTTAAATCACTTATGGATTCTATTTTTAAATAAATGTCTTTTATACATAAAATCAATAGAACGTATTTAATCAATCTTTTGATTACCACATCCATCTTTTTTAACAGTGTCCTGTCTGGCGATGTGGCAATAAGAATAATTGTCTTGATGCCAAAAGGAGAGCCCAACTGATTTTACTTTCACAAGTGAAGCAGTATGGCTATCGCCATAGTGTTCTGCTTGATTAATGCATGTAAATAGCTTTATTTTAATTCACACAGTGAGTATTACAGATTTTATGGACACTGCAATTTAAATAGAACAGGAAAGGAAAGAAAAAAAAGGAGGAGAAAAGATAAAAGAAAGAGGGGAACAAATCGGAGGTAATAGGGGCATCCCGCCCCCCAGCCAAGCCCTGCCCGGGCCCCGGGGGGCCAGGCCCCGTGGAGCAGCCGCCAGGAACAGGCCAGCACCCCAGCGAAGAAGGGGCAGGATGGGGGGATGGGCTCCGCACTTAGAGGAGACTTGCTCTTGTTCTTCAGAGAGGGAGCAGTTCAGACCCAAACCTGACAAAATCAAAAAAATAATAAAATAAGAAAAATAAGAAAGTATATATATACACACACAGACTGAATCACGGCTTCTCCACCCTAGTGCCCCCACTTCCAACACAACGTCTCTGTGAAGGAAAAACAAATTATTCAAGACAGTTATTCTACTGTAATTGCCACAGCGCCAGACAGGACAATGTTAAAAAACACACCTATACACATAACACTCACATCCATCCATCTTCTTCCGGTTATCCGGGTTCGGGTCGTGGGGGTAGCAGCTTCAGTAGGGAGGCCCAGACGTCCCTCTCCCCAGCCACTTAGTACAGCTCCTCTGGGGGGAATCCCAAGGCGCTCCCAGGCCAGCTGAGAAACATAGTCCCTCCAGCGTGTCCTGGGTCTCCCCCTGGGCCTCCTCCCGATGGGACGTGCCTGGAACACCTCACCAGGGAGGCGTCCAGGAGGCATCATAACCAGATGCTCGAGCCACCTCAACTGGGTCCTCTCGATGTGGAGGAGCAGCGGCTCTACTCTCAGTCCTCCCTGCATGACTGAGCTCCTCACCCTATCTCTAAGGGAGAGCCCAGCCACCCTACGGAGAAAACTTATTTCTGCAGCTTGGATCCGGGATCTCGTCCTTTCGGTTATGAACCAAAGCTCATGACCATAGATGAGGGTAGGAACGTAGATCGACCGGTAAATCGAGAGCTTTGCTTTTTGGCTCAGCTCTCTCTGAACCACAAAAGAACGGTACAGGGTACGCTTCACAGCAGACACTGCACCAATCCACCTATCGATCTCCCGCTCCATCTTCCCCTCTTTCATGAACAAGTCCCCAAGATACTTAAACTCCTCCACTAGGGGGCAGCACATCCTCCCCAACCTGGAAAAGGCACTCTACCCTGTTCTGGCTCAAGACCATGGTCTCGGATTTGGAGGCACTGATTCTCATCCAGGCCGCTTCACACTCAGCTGCGAACCGCTCCAGGTAGAGCTGTAGATCACGCCCTGATGAAGCCAACAGAACCACATCATCTGCAAATAACAGATATGCAATCCTAAGGCCACCAAGACAGATCCCTTCAACACCTTGGCTGTGCAAGAAATTCTGTCCATAAAAGTATAAAAAGAATTGGTGACAAAGAGCAACCTTGGCGGAGTCCAACACTCACCGGAAACGGGTCCGGCTTACTGCCGGCAATTTGGACCAGGCTCTGACACCGGTCATACAGAGACAGTGCCTTCTCCAGATCCACAAAACAAATGTAGACTGGTTGGGCAGTCTACATTTCCCTATCCGGGTTCGGGTCGCTGTTACCCCCGCGACCCGAACCCGGATAACTGGAAGAAGATGGATGGATGTGAGTGTTATGTCTTAGTTTTTAGCTTCTTTCTCTTCAATCACAAAGACAGAAAACAGTCTGGCGCCCCAATGTTTCACCAGTTAGCTTTACCTCTTGCATGCCACACAGCACTCATGAGAAACTAATGCTGATATTTACAATGCATATATCATTAACAAACCAGATTACCTGCGAAACAGACAGATATAGCTGGGTATCATCAGTATAACAGTGAAAATTAATCCCATGCTGTCTAATAATTCAACCCATTTGGAGCATATATAAAGTAAAGAGAATTGGACCTAGCACTGATTCCTGTGGTACTCCACACCAGTGGCGGCTGGTGAAAAAAATATTTTTTTGGTGGGGCTGATATAGCCTAGTGTATGTCTCCAACTAATCCAGAATAAGAATTCAAATAAACATTTGGACAATAAATACAATTTAACAGTAATGATTTAATTTACTATATAATAACAGTAACAGTGATGATTT